TCCAGGCTTTCTGAATGTTACAGAGAGGTGTATGTTATACAGGAACACTGCCCCAGGGGCACTGCCTTCAAGGGCTCAGGGTCGTAGCCCCAGGGGGTGTTAATTACCCAAAAAATTAACAAAATACCGGAGTGTGGACATTATTCGGTCTGAATGTTGGTTGTGCTGCGCTTTTATATGCTTGGAGTTGGAAGATCCGGTACTGAACAGATTAAAAACAGAAGCCGGAACTTTCTTTTAGCGGCACCGAAATGTTTTTTTTTCACCAGCCAAACCAACCGTATATTACGCAGGGGTTGAATAAGCTGGTAAAACTGTCACCGGTTCCATAAAAGATGTATGTTATAGCTGTAAAGGGGTGAATGTTATACAGAGAACTGCCCCTGTGTTATAGTCTACCGGACGGTTTGGTTCCCAGCCTCGTGTATGCAGTAAAGGGGTGAATGTTATAGGAAGGTGAATGTTAAGAGGAGTTTCACTGTAACAATAAACAAAGCGTTACAAAAGTATTGATACATTCCAAAATCTTACTCACCAGGGCCCGGTCACCGCCTCTCCCCTCAGAAAAATTTCATATCTTGCTTGAAGACAGAGTCGGTATTGGGAACCCTTAAAAAAATATTTTCATCGGCAATGGTCCAGTGGCAAAACAAATATAACTGCCGTATGTATTGTTAGTGCACTGGCAATACATACGGCACTTATACAATGTACGACAAAAAGAGGTTGAACCGATCAGTCGGTCCGCGGTTCAAAATAACCTCGCAACGACACGCCACCACTAAAACTTGGACGCTTACTCACTACTTTCAGACGCTCGCGCTCCGTGAATATCAAAGTGCAGCTATACTAGTTGCATATCAAAAGGTGTAGAAAAAAATTTTAAACTTTTTGACACTAAACCTGTGGCTGTTTATGGCGAACAGCACAAATTCCAGCCATTTTGCTTTCTCGTAGACACAGCATAGGATCTGTGCGCATAACCGTTTGGCTTGCAATCAATGCTTAAGTCTATGGGAAAGCAAAATGGCTAGAATTTGTGCTGTTCGCCATAAACAGCCACAGATTTAAAATCAAAAAGTTCAAAATTTTTTTCTACACCTTTTGATGTGCAACTAGTATAGCGGCACTTTGATATTCACGGAGCGCAAGCGTCTGAAAGTAGTGAGTAAGCGTCCAAGTTTTAGTGGTGGCGTGTCGTTGCGATGTTATTTTGAACCGCGGACCGACTGATCGGTTCAACCTCTTTTTGTCGTACGTTGTATATGGCCAATGCACGTATTACGTATTCTCATTAAACGGTGTTCATGCATCGTACTGGTGAAAACTTCTGTTTTGATTTTTTTTTCGGTAAATTTTACTTTTTACTGACTGGCTTGACGATGTAAAAGTTTTGTGAACTCTTTGTACTTGCCAGCATCGCGCGTGTGGTGCATGCAGCATAAAGAAGAATTTAAAGGTAAGCAGTGCAATCAAGTCAAATCGACTACCGGTTAGATTTTTAAAAATTGGATGTTGTAAAAACCAAAATTAAGAATTAGTAGTCAAGAAGCTAGTCTGCAAATGCAGTGAATAAGTAACACTGATCATGGTGCCGTATGCATTGCCAATACTGTATATACAATGTACATTGACAATACATACCGCACTCAAATGTGTTTTTGGCAACGCCCACTGGGCCATTGCCGACAAAAGTATTTTTTTAGCTGTTCCCATACATGTTCTGTCTTCAAACAAAATATAAAATTTTTATGAGGGAGAGGCGGTGACCGGTCCCTGGTCAGTTTTGAGTAGTACGTACCCATCAAGGTCCTAATACAAGTTCGGGAGAAACTAAGTCCTTTTGGCTCGTTAGTACAAACAAGTACTAGTATCAAAGTAATGAACGTATCACCATAAGCAGGGTCGAGCAGAGTTGCGCGCTAACAATAATCCCCATGAGCACCACCTAGACAAACATTCTACATACCTTCTTTTGTCGTGCCGGCGATGGCATTTAGGTCATGCACAATGGAAATGAACAGAACGGTGTCTTTAGGGACAAATATCGCTTCCAGTTCCATTCAACAGAAGCATTCGTTTAACGGTTGTACGGTACACAAGAAACAAGATTTGCATGATCGGTATTATAGACATCGATTCAAGGAAGCAGTACTAGTACTGACTACTGGAAGTAGTAGTTCTTTGTTTACGCCGGTGTTTATACACTAGACCAAGCATCTTCGACCAACCACCAGGAACGACTGGGAGAATTTTGTTCCCACGTAGCAGTCACCCGAAGCGTCACCCCACTGACTGTAAACACCGTTGCAAAATAGCTGCAGTCTCAACTTTTGCGACAAACTCCGCCGACCAACGACAAATTGACATTAGGGGAAAAACCAGGCATCTTCTACCGTTCCCCTGTACTGCTGCTGTCACCCGACTGGAGTTTGACGTTGTAGTGTAGCTGAACATGGTGCTTATGTACCGTGCCAGATTTAACCGTATGTACTGCCGTAACGTCACTTCCAGGCGGGTGACGGCAGCAGTACAGGGGAACGCTGGAAGACGCTTAGTTTTGCCCCTTAACCCGTTGACGCATTGTCGCCTCCTGAACGCATTGGCGTTCAGGAGGCGACAAGGTGTTTGGGATCTTTTCCCCAGCGATCGCCAACAGTTATTCGTTATCCCACATCGTAATAAGCAATAAGGGACTTTAATGCGGTATTAAAAACATTATTCAATCTTGTGTCTCAAGTTATCTAAAAACTACGGGTGCGCAAAAATCGACTTATTTCGACTTGTCTGAGCTCTCCGATGCCTTAGTCCATAACTTTCGAGTAGATAATTCGACAAATTTGAAATTAATCAGCAAGGTACAATTGATATTGCTTTATTCAGTAATGTTCATCATGGTATCTGAAAGTCACAGATTACAAGGCCATTGTCCGTCAAAAACACGTGTTGCTTCAAGCTTGCTAAACGCCATTGCACATGAAGGGTTTCGAATACACGGGCGGGTGCACTTTCGACAGATTCTTTTTATTGCGGAAACGGAATAAGTTACTGTCGGTTCGGATGCAAAACATGTACCACGCGGTTCCGTTTATCGAAAGCTGGCGAAAAACGCTGTCGCTAATCAACAACCCGGGCGGTCGGCTTCCGGAAAACAGAAAATTTAGGGAAACCGCCCTGACTGTCCAGTAATTCTACCGCCGTTGCAATAACACTGTGAAATGGCGGCACAACACCGTGTGCTTTGCCGCGTTTGTACGCATCGATGCATCGCTTGGGCAAGGTAAGGGAGAGCGCTGCGCAGCTTTGAAGAAACATGGTTCTGAATTTAGATCAGTTTCGGGCGGTTGCAAACTGCATCACGTAATTGCAAGCGGGCACATTGATGATGTTCACCTTAGCGGCAGCATTACTAGTTACTTCCGAACGCTAACGCGCTCTAAAAAGTGTTAGTGACCACTAATATCTGATTTGGCGCTAACGACCACTGCAGCTGGACTTTCCGCGCCGCCTTTATTACACTGGCATCTGCGGTTACACCCGGGAAAAGTGTAAGCGCGGACAATGGGCCAGTATAAGAACGACAGAAATGCAAACTTAAAATTCAAAAATAATCCTTCCTGGAGTCTCATATGAGAATATAAAGAAAGGTGTGGGAAGAACATCGTTAGCATCGTCTATTTTCAGTATTCTATCTGTAGTAGTGGTCAAAACACATGAAAACGGGTTTTGGACGTTTTCATTTTTTTTGCTGACCAGTGGTAAGTTCGTTGACCACTTCTTTACTTCTGTTTTGAAGTACTTTTTGTACTATTTAATGAGGTTTTAGTTGTTGCTTTTACCTAATTACTGTTCGCCTGGTTATTACAGAATTAAACGTTTTTATGCTGTAGACCGTCCATGGGCATTGGTGTCAGGAGGCGACATAGTCACCACCGCTGACCTATGGTCAGCACAAGCTCACAAAAAATTCCCTTTCTTAAATGAATTTTTTCATCGGAAATCCCAATTTTCAATAGGATACTCTCGCTCCTTCGGGTACCGCCCGCTGGAGGGCTAATCCAGCAAAGCCAGTAGACTGATTGTATAGATACAAGTAGCCTGATGCTAGCTTTGCAGTTTGCATGCAGTCACAGCACTCTTGCCGTAATCTTTCCGGCTGGTGGTGGCATAATTTCTTGGCGCGTCTGTTTGTTATGTCATTATAAAAGACCGAGCTTCACAAGCTTTACCTCGTATACTAAACTTAAAAGTGCAACGAATTTATGGTATTAACTTAAACATCTAAATCGCTTTTCGATAGCTTATCGTAGATACGACCAGATTCGCATACAATGGGGCTGTCACTATACCAATGTGAGATACATAACTGCCAACTGTCACGTAGTTTGAGAAGACATGTTTGCCGAGAGGAGAGCGTCAATGGCTATCAAAACAGCTGATATTTAAAAGAGAAATAGTCCTTGTACTGTTATTATTTGAAAACACATAAAACAGCGACAACTCAGATGCAGCTTTTTCTCTTTGACTAATACCATTGCTTTTGGTATAGGAAGATATGCTTCATAAGAACAGTTGTCAGCATATTCAATAATTACGCCAACTTCGATCTGTCGGGATATCGCCACTTTAGCTGTGCATGGATTTCGATTGTTGCTTGATTATTGTGCTTTTACTGAAACATATAAACATGCTCCTATAAACATGAAATACATGGATGACTTTTTATCGAATGGCTTTAATTGTGCGCGACCTCGAAGTACCTATAGCACAATACGTAATACGGATACAAATTTTTGATAATCTTAAATATTTTCGTCGATTTGCCTACCCGTTAATCGAGGCAGCACGTTTCGAAGGTAAAGGCGACATACAATATAATTATATATGCTCGTTAACATTTAGACAATTTCCGATGTCAACTGATGTGATCCATGACTTCTGAGTGTAGATTTTGATAAAAACCAAAATTTCCAAGGATTTTTTGTTAATTCTTATTTTGATCACCGTATCGTTTTACAGCGAAGCAAATTAAAGACGGTACTGCGCAAGTCAGACACACTGGCAACAATTAACAGAGGATCCATCATACTTTGCAGGACATACAACACAAAAGTCGCGTTGCGGACCTCATCCGGCATCGACACAGTAAAATACGCGTCCAGGGTATCCAGAAGATTATACGGTGTCCAGCAAAATACCACGCTAGTGGTCAGCGTCGTTAACACGGCAAACCCACTGTGCCGACCCGGGAAACTGCTTCCCAGTGAGTGTACAATCCGAAGGCGTTTGTGTTGACCAATTAGGATGGATACGTAGCATCCAATCATCAACAGCACCGGTAAATCATAAACAACAATCATGACCACCTTCACCCAAGCCCGCAACATGGATCGATCCAGTCGGCACAACTTCGAAGGCATGTTATTATAGACAGCGTCGAGAATTACACCAGGTAGGCACATTAAATGCACGTACACAATCACCGTCAAGATGATCCAGCAGGCGGTTTTCACGGTATGATGGCGGCGATAAGAAATAGGGAAATACAGCGCCCACACCCGGTTGACGCTAATGAGGACGTGGATGTGGAGGGCCACCGCGCTAATCACCCATCCATCGTAGACATGCACAGCGCACAGTACGCGGTCTTTGCAGAAATCGGCCCAGTGGAAGCACAGAATGTCCGCCCACACGGGAAAGCAGTACACGGCGTTGCCAAAGGTCAGAGCAAGAAAGTAAACGGTGAAAGGGGTGCGTAGACGCCGATAAATGGTAAACAACGCGGCGACGATGGCGTTAAGAGAAAATGAAAGTAAGGTAAACGACATGGATATCCAGTCTGTCCAGTCGAAGTATAACTGGCTTTGGGAAATCGCCGTTGCATCGGTGACGTTTGTGGTGTTCATTTTATAATCTAGAAGAAAAACTGAAACATCCAATTGGGTTTCCAGCAATTAAATTGATACAGGTACAACTTGCAGTCGAAGATAATCTGAGATGAAATCTCGAGGCAGTAAAATAAACGAGGTTGCACCTGCGCGGTTTTCCCGGGGGAGATTGGGTAATAATAACGGTGGATCGGTGTGTTGATTCAGCGCACCCAGAATCGTAGCTGTTTGCTTAATACGATCAGCGGGTTGGTTTGTAGCAGAATTGCATGTTTGTTATAACTGCTTGTTGTCTGCGTAGCTGCTGGTCGTTGTCGTTCGAACTTTGAACATCTTCTCTCGAGCGCTGCAAAATTGCGTTTCTCTGAAACATGGCCAGTTCAGTTATAAAAACGTTGTAATGTATGTTTGCGTGACCAACATCACCGGCTTTTCCGGACACGACATTCTATCGTTTTTTTCGTTTATCAAGTTAACAATTTACGTAATTATTGCGTAAACATTCAATACGTTCTGAACGTAGTACTAAGTCTGCAGTACATCACTACAGCGCAGGAAATATCCGTAGGAAGTATAGCGTATTGGGATGTCTTGTTCAGCGGCAAATTTGTAATTACCTGTTTGTTTCCTGCTGGACGTTGCTGATGTTGAAACGAACATCGAGGGCAGCCCATGCGTGTGTGTGCAGTGGCTTTTTCCGGAAAGCACCCTCATGTGGCAAAACATAGTCGCGACTCGCGACTCGCGCGGGTACAACGTATTGTGCATGTACTGAAGGAATACTGGGCAGTTAATAACTATTTTATTTAACTCAGCATTTTGTAATGATGTCTATTTCATTACGCGATACTCCTTATTACGAATACTAGCTTGTGCTGAATGAGCGGTAGTCATCAAGAAACATCTTTCCATAATCCACAATTCAAATAATAACAGTCAAATCAAAATGTAATTAAACTACGCCAACCAAAGTCACAAGCAATCTATTTGTACAGTGTTACTGCTATGGTTGCACATAGATGATAGGACCATACGGTTAATTTCGGGGTGAGCACTTCTGGAACTGCTCACGCCATCTTTATCACTCAACTGCGCAGTCAGCAGGATGTATCCAAATATGCCGCAACAAATCTGTTAACAGAATAACGCTTTTTTTCTACGTCGAGTGCTTGCTTCTCTGCACAAAATTGAACACTACTACATTCAAGAACATGCGACCGCTGTGCAGATTTATCCATTATTCTTAAGCGATAACAAAAATGCTCTTTTCATGCTTGTAAAGTGATGCGTTTACAGTACTCTCGGGTGATTTGCAATATATTATACAAGGCTTGCAAGCAGTACTTATTACGAATAACGATAACAATTTAGCAACTTTTGATAAAATGCCGACTGCTGAAAAGCGCAACTACGGTATATCATGATCGGTTCTTACTGCAGTAACGGTTTCCCGGGTTAGGGTGATTCCTCCCAAAGCAACGCCGGTTTGCATGTCTTTGCATCGCTTAAAATGTCTGATTATTGAATTGGAGGCGTGGTTTTTCTTGTCTTGATTAATGGTAACGTTCCGTAAAAACTGAAGAAATTCTTTATTCTGCAACGTGAAGAATAGTAAAGCTGTTTGAAAACAGAAAGCTGATGCGCTGATAACCATAAGATGCCGTGACTGCTAAGCGATTTTTGGATTTCATACCGGGTGCTTACCGGTTGTACAGTTAAGACACGTACTACTGTAAATTACTTACAACTTACAAGTGCTTAAGAATCTCAGCAACTAACTTTATGCGAGAGCCCCAGAATTATAGTAAGAGTCGTACCTTGTCAAACAAAAATACCGACGCCCACCATTGTAGGCTCATTAGAGACCCATGCATTGTCATGATGGAAATTGTATAAAGGTCATTAGTAAAGCCGGTAGCGGCAGTTTCAGCAAGTCGTTATATTGCACTAACGAAGTAGACCGCATCCTCCAGGAGAACCACGGCTGCAATCCACGAAAAGCATTCGTTTAATTGCTGCAGGAGTTGCATGAGATTTGTGTGGCTCTGAAGAAGCTGTATGAGATTTTCCGATGTGCTGCCTTTATTTGCAAACATACTGAGAGATCGACATGCAAAACCGAAAGTAAGTGGCCAAAGTATTACAAAGGCCTGCGCACATTTCGTTCCTGCGTAGCAGATACCTGCAAATGTCAATGTGGTAAGGCATACCGCTATTGAGATGGATTTACTGAGTCATAAGTTGTGATAAAACAGAAATAATTCCGAGGTTTCATTTTGAGCATCAGCAAGAGTCCCGTTGAAATTAATTGCGGTGGAGTAGGCCAGGGGAATGCAAAGCAAACATCCAGTCAAGACAATCAGCGCGACACTGCATGGAGCAAAGTACACTGCAAAATCCGCCACGAAATTTTTCATTAGACTGCCAAGATCAAGTCTTTTCGACAATAGTAGTAGAGTGGGACCAAATGCTCTTACCAAGGGAACAAGATAAAAGGAGATCATAGTCAGGAAAAATTCGGACAATTTAGCAACTGACATTCCAGCAAGCATAATATCGAAACCTACAACGTCAGACGAAAACTGCAATATAATGTAAATGCCCAGAGAAACTTGGAATACTGTCCGATACTTCGTTGGAGGTGATGTGAAGTATCCACAAATTTGCATAGCATTTAACCAGACTGCAATATGCAGTCGCAGAATTCGCGTATGCATGCCCTTTGTTTTCGAATCCATGTATTAATTCCCGCTGATTTACAGCAGAACCGACAAAACAAATTTAAACGAGAGCTTATGCTGCTTAACAAAAAACCTTTTTCGTGGCGTGACCTCTGTCTCTTCTGTAGCAGTACATCTTCCAGTATCTGTGCCTGATAAACGTAATAATTTGCTACATTTGTAAATGCTCTGCCACATGGTGCTACCTCAGGACCCAGGTTCATGTTGTGGATCGCTCCAATATTTGAATACACCAACCATCCGTATTGCGATACTTGTTCATTTGTTCAGAGCGCTGTCAGGAAATACTCGTACATGTCAAATATGTACCCGACAATCATAGCGTACGCGTAGCTGCCAAAGATGCTGGCACAGCTGGGTTTCGCAAGCAGGAATGTCAAAAATTTGACGAAGCCTTCCGTTTCTTAGTTTATAACTATTACTTATGTTCCAAGCATGTTGTACGCAAAGAGCGTAAATCATATTGAAAACAATTTGGTGTTTTGTAATAATCTAAATTAATGTGTTGCAGCATTCTTAATTTGTCTGAGCGGTTGCGTTTAGTACGTACATTTAACTTAAGCACTTGGTAGAACGAAATACTTTGGCAATGCAAAATCTGCAAAAAATTGTTCGGTTGTTGAGAATTCAGATGCTGTTCTGATGCAGGCTAATGATGATGGCTAATCGAACAAATCGAAGATCAACGCAAGACTCCCCGCGAAAAATTTCCAGTATTCTACTATTTGCATTAACTTAACCGTGCTGTGCGCTCCCTGGTAATACTATGCTTACTGTCAATCCTTCAACCAGAAGGTGGTTATCCACTTATTAGAATCTACTACAGTAATTATTAAAGTCAGCTTTGGGAAAGGACTTTCATTGTATACGCACATTTTTATGAATCTGGAAGAATTGACCACCCGTATTACGTACCATGTATTCCCGTTTTTCCTGAAGGTATACAATTTTCTAACATTTACTGTTGTACATGATTCTCACTCTGCATTTCAGTTTTACAATAAGTGTGCCAATTAAATCTCACGCATAAAACAAAATCTATCTAGGTACTGAAAAACCTGTGCCAGTTGCAAAAGACACGTTATACTCGTATTGAAATTGCGATGAGTGCGAACATCAGCTCATCTTGTAACGGAGCGCGAGATCCGAATTTGTTATTCAATATTGATGCGCAAAAGTTAATATTGGAGTGCAGTTAAATTCTTTATACTTATCCAGCGTCGATCAACACGTTTGAAATTGTTATAATTTCAGGATATTGGCATATGTTAATCAACTATTAAAACTATTAATCAACTATTAAAAATGTCTAGCGCAGGTGATGCGTTGTTGGAAAACGTCGAACACTGAAAATAGTGGTTGCCGAATTCGTAATAGCGAACGTGTGCTCTAGACGCCACCTTCACTTCGTGGGTATATCATAAAAACTAATAAAAGTGCAACGCAGTGCAACGCAGTGCAACGCAGTGCAACGCAGTGCACCAACCGTCTATTGCGTTCTGGAACTGCTACGGTTGCATATGAATAACATCACCATGCGGTTACTAGTAAGTTCGGAAGGAGTATTTCTGGGTATGTCGTCGCCATCCGTATCGCTAATCTGCGCCGCCAGTAGGATATATCCAAATATGCTGCAGAATATCTGTTGACATCCGCACACTGGATTAGAATTTCTTTTGTATGCGGACAATGTTCATAATTAGTAATATTTATATCCTCGATACAAGTATATTTCGTCATTACAAGATATCCTAAAACGAAGACAGTTTTCGATGCGTATGCGTTTTGTTCGGAGCTATGTGCCTGGACATACATAAATTCATACAAATTGTACATAAATTCTTTAGCGTTTTTGGTAACTTCTCTTTATGGAGTACAATCAAACTAGTACCGTTACATTGACGATTTTGCTAAAACCGTAACTAAAGCAGGGAAGCTTCTTACTCCGGCAACCCTTTCTCGGGTCAAGGTGATTCCTCCCAAAGCGACGCCCGTCTGCATGCCTTTACATCGGTTAACATGTCTGGTAATTAGAATGGAGACGTTGTTTTCTTTATCTTGCTCAGTGATAATGTTCCGTAAAAACTTGAAAAATGCATTGTTCTGCAATAAAACGTAAAACAGAAAGCGGCTTGTGAACCTACATGGGAGCGTAATACATATTTGGGCTTCAGATAATCAGCTTCGAATGGATGTTAAGCCGCGCGACCTGTGACAAACCATAGTTGTTTTGAACTTGACCAAACTGTGTAAACTGTGTGTAATCTATCGCACTTGTATATATACAAAATAATAACTCTCTCGTACCAAAGTGGTTGATTTTATAACAAGCACAGTCGTGTTCTTGTATCGACAAACGTACCTTCTCAAACAAAAATACAAACGTCCACAATTGTGCGCTCATGATGGATGCATGCAAAATCATGATGGAAACTGTCAAAAGGTCACACATGGCGCCGGTAACAGCCGTATTCGCAAGGTCTTGCGCCGCAATGACGAAGTAAAATACATCTTCCAAGAAAACCACGACGGCGATCCACGAGAAGCATTCGTTTAATTGCTGCGAAAGTCGAAGCAGACCTGCGTGATCCTGAAGAAGCTGTACAAGACATTTCGATGGGTGGTGCTTTTTCGCGAGAATAATGAGAGATCGACATGCGAAACCGAAATTAAGTGGCCACAACACTATGAACACCTGTGCACATTTCATTCCGGTATAGCAGATTCCTGACAAAGTAAATCCGGTAAGGCACACCGCTGTGGTTGTGGACTTACTGAGCCCAAGCCGTGGTAAAACAGAAATAATTCCGAACTTTCGTTTTGAGCCATAGCAGGAATTGCTCTAAAATTCACTGCGGTGAAGCAGGCCAGGGGAATACCTAACATGCAGCCAGTGAGGATAATCAGTGCAACATGGCATGGAGCAAAGTACACTGCAAAATCCGCCACGAATTTTTTCATCAAACTGCCCAGATCGCATTTATTGTACATTAGGATAACGGGACCCAAAGCCCTTATAAAGGGAACGAGATAAAAAGGGATCGCAGTCAGAATAAATTTGTATATTTTAGTAATTGGAATTCCCGCCACTAATACATCAAAATTGATGATGTTAAACGAAAATTGCAATCCAATGGATATAATAAGAGCAGCCTGGAATATTGGTCCATACTTTCTTGGTGGTGACGTGAAATAACCACAAAAGTGCATAGCACTCAACCAGAAAGTAACGTTAACATGCAAGCGCAAAATTCCCGTTGAAAGCCGCTCTGTTTTCAGATCCATGTATTTCCAGCCGATTTGCAACAAAACAGTGAAAAAGTCGTTACCTACCCGTAGTAGTTTAGAAAGCCATTTCGTTGCGCGACCTTTACTTATTCTACCGCATTTAATTTTCTTCGGGGAAGCGTTTATAGAAGTATCTGTATTCGAAGCACAGTTGAATTAATACAAAACGCCTAACCTCGATGAGGATCGATTGCAGCAATAAGCAGCATCATGATCAGACGAACACATTAACAATTTAACACCCGTTTTCAAACACTTGGATAACTTCATCATAATTTTGTCCAGAGTTTTGTCGAGGAATAATGTCAGATCGCAGGATGTATTTGACGTACATGCGTGTAACTGTCAAGGATAATGACAAAGTCGTGTTTCTGACATAATCGATGTCAAAAAGCGGTGCTGTCAACTTACGGGTAGTTATCGTTATCTCATATTGTACGCTAAAGTTCTTGTATCGGTTCTTGTATGTATGTAAACTGGGGAACGATTCGATGCTATGTAAATTTCTAAATGCATGATTATACTGACTGTCGAAATACCAGCATTTTTGAATTGTGTGAGCGGTTATGATTAAAACTTACACTGCAATTACCGTACAGTAATCGGTAATTTTGCGTTCGTATCGTCAAATGCGATCTTCGACACTGATGCTACGGATAAAAAGTAAATACGGCACACAAGCAAACTTTGCCATTGAAAATGATTATTCTATACGCATACCTTGATCAGTCTTATCACAGTATGAGGTCATGTTGGTACTGTGAATGGTTGTGCCAAATAAAATTCTTCATGCAGTATCTATTTATACCTGTAGTCATGTACGAGTATTACTGTAGATTCGTAGAATATCGGCTCAATAAACAAGCAGCAAAACCTCAAGTATTCACATAGCCGCAACGCCAAAGTAGCTACTGTTGTACGTATTTATAGAACTTTGTGCACATATTTTTGTACAGATACATGCTGCATTCATACTGCAGATAACACCCTTTTCAAGCTAATTCGCAAGATTCATTGGTTAGCTTATTAATCTCTTGACTGTCAGGATCATTGGTAACGGTTTTGGAGTATCGCGCTGTCGATAGCGACCACAAATTGGACTTGAGATGGCATTTGAGTTTCATCAGCACTACCGACACGATAACAGCAACGAGAATCACTAACATTAGCGCCGCTATTCCCAGCATTACTCCGTTGCCGAATGACAAGCTGTTTTCTTCTAAAAAAGTAGAACCTTGCATTATCAAGTGTACATCCTTAAAAATTGCACGTTGTACGCTATGTCTACAATATCTTTACAGATATATATACGGTAGATACTGTATATTGATTATGCTGTACAAGTACAGATACAGTGCTGTATTCATAAATTTGGATTTTTTTAGGCGGTAATTGCTTGGCCCTGCTTTCGAAGACACTTCAATATTGCTAAAAAGAATGTTTTGCATGTAATCACGCATTGACTTCATGTATTTATACCCGACTTTTCCCGATCAGCTGTTCCCGGCATTAACGCAGTCAGTTCGATAGGCGGTTGGAGCGTTGCGCCCACCGTTTTCTCTTTGTTCTGAGATTTTACGGTAACTCCGCTCGCTTCCGTCGTCGATGCTTTATTCGTTGCAGTAGGACTGGCGGCCGATAAAGTCGTCGCTTCCCGATGTCGCACAACATTCATCAGCCACATGGTACGATAGTGATGTTCCGGTGTCGAGATCATACACGCATAATATCCGTTGTTTTCTTCGATTAAATCGAAGGTGCTAGCTGTTATGTTCACGGTCTGACCCGGCTCGCCCAGAGCATGCACCAATCGGCGGTGACCATTCGCTACCGTCCACACCGACGAGGCGTTCTTCTGCAGGTCATCCTCGTACGAACTGAGAATAAGCCGTTTGCCGCTGAAGAGCAGTTTCACTGTCGCAATCTTGGGCTTGACGAGGGTCTCGCTGGCGAAGCAGGGTATGGTGACGGAGCGTGGTCCCATTGCGTCATCGTAAATGGCGTTGATTTCCACCGGGGCTACCGCGGGATTGATATCGTCAAGAGCATTTACACTGATGGGCGCGGTGACCAATATTATGGCAAACAAAAAGATAGTCAACGGAATTAGCAGCATAGCAAAAGATTTGCTTAACGGTATGGAGACTCAATCCAGACTCCGAAGGTTTAGATCAAACAGCCCCTTTCTGGGAATCAGTCTTCGTGTATTACTGTTTCACAGAGAGCTGCGTTTGCTTAAGATAAGGGAGAAGTCAAGAAACTTGTCCATTGGAGGCCTACATAAAAATCAAATCCAACTACACACGTGCAATAAGGTATTGGGTACTGATGAAAAGATGCATCAGATTCAAGTTATTGCTACAAGTGCCAACAACAACCTTAAATTGGGTTGTTTATGATGTGCACGACAACTTTAGTAAACATGCGTTGTACAGAGTCTACAGACTGTATCAGCGCCGATTTTACGATGTATTATATACCGTATGCTAACGAATCAGTAACGATTGGCGAACTGTCTTATCTGGTACAGGTACGAACTGCACGTACAATGTTTCCTTACACTGTTTAAACGTTCAAATTTTTGTTATCGCTTGCTGTTAATTCCTCACCAATCATTATACTACATAATTATTTAATACTGATCTTCAGTTCAGGTTGTACAAGTACGTACTCGTACAAAACCCGAGTCTAATGACGTGTACATACTATCTAATCAGCCACGAATTCCTGGAATAATTTCCAAATTTTATTTACAAATTAGTATATCAGCACACTGTGTCCAACACACCCAAATAGATCACAGACAATGGCAATCCATTCACCATCAGTTGATGCAGTTCAAACGCCAACTGTTATCAACACATACCAGCGCTGTTATCCATACGAAACACAATAAAAGTAAAAGGCACAAAATGGTGATGTTAATTCACACAAAGAGTACCGACACAATTTCCCCACGCCCAACAATCACCGTCATTTACGCTCGCCGCGCTCCCTCCACCAGCCCCACCGACCTGATCACCTGCAGCCAAACACACAATCCACGTTGCCCATACGAACAGCGTAAATACTTCGGTAAAAAATTTAAAATAATCAAGGAACTGTCAACAAAAAATCACGAAGAGCCGGGAGAGGGAAAAAACTTTTTCTTTGCCTGCTCATAGACCGTCCAGCTGGTGGCCGTCATCAGGGTGCGCCGCGCTATGCGGGGAACTAATCCGGCAAAGTAGCCCGTTAGCCCGCGACTTCGCCAGATATTGCTGGCGGTGTATACCAGCGTCCGCTTCTCGGCCTGCGAGGACAACTGGACGTGGGTTTTGATCACGTCAAAGGGATGCGTGACGATGGAGGCTAAAAGGCCGGCGGTCAGGCCGCTGCCGAAATGCATCACGGGAGTGTACGGATAATCTGGGAATTCTGCAGAATAACGCACTCCCATTCAATACACACATTAAAAATAATTCAAATACTTCTTTTGACGATTACAGAGGTGCATGGATAAAATCTCGATCTTGAAAAATCCATGCGGTTATTCGCAAAACTACGGAGATAATTTTGCAGACATATCAGACACCTCATCAAATAATAATAAAATACAACTGTTAAAAAAATTTAATTCAATGGTATTTTTTCCCGGATATAATACAATTTTACGCAAAGTGATCGACTATACGTGGGAGTTCATCTATTTTTCCGAAATCAAAAAAAGAGGCTGCGAAATAACAAATTAAAAAACCTAGATACACGCTTCATTTTATTTGTAATTATCTAAAATATAACAGGCTACTTGTTCACTCCTTCTTCTCTGCGTCTTATCAGCCGTTACACAACAATCGATCACAGTTACGGTTAGTCGTCACATATCTTACAATTAGAACTCAAACACTGCTGATCAATTTTTTGTAACATTAGCCTTGAGTTTCTGTACCATTAACAGTTAACCTTTTCATTATCCGTTATTCCATTATTTTCAACCAGCTCACTTGCTCACAGAGTGTACGCAGAAAACAGGTACCTATTTTGCAAACTAGGTATTTTAGTCAGGTATTTTGCAAACTTTACGAAAAGCATTTTTTACCAAACAAAGTCAGCTAGCTTCGGCTGTTTATAGAATTACTTAACTTAAAGCCCTCTTTGTTTCTACCAAACGTAGCACTTACGTTTTCTTAAACTGCTTTTAATTAGTTCATAGAACATCAAATAAATTCCCGAGAAAGGGGCATCCCGCAGCAGTGTAGGAACAAAACCGCTGTACAAAGCTGCAAAGACAAAAACATCAGACAATAACCGCTAAAGAACTGCTAATTGTATAATCTCGATTGTACAGTTAATATCAAACAACATACAAAAACAGTGCACATAACCAGTACTTACACTTGATACCTTCCTGTGCTGCTGTGCTTCGCAGTGCGCCTAGCACTGATCCGTAGCGAAACAATCCACTCTAAGACATCTACCGTTGTAGTATAGTGGCTAGTTGTTATCGTCAGTGGAAGAATTTAAATGGAAAGTTCATAATATCTAAAATCTGAATGTTTGAAAATGCTAATGTAAAAATTTTCAAAGCATGTTTTTTTCTGCTGTAAAATGGGCACAGTTACAACGCAATGCACACAGTTACTAATGCAATTTTAGGGATATTTAAAATATCGCTACAAAATTTAAAATATCATATTTTATACCATATCGACTCCAAGATCTCATACAAATTTATAATCGCTCAGTTTATTTCCATTAAAGTACCTTTCTGCTGATTAAATGATAATGCGTTACCTCATAGCGGGCTTTGATAACAGTGAAGGGCAATACTGAGAGCGATGCAATAAACCGGCCTAATATCCCGATCACAATGAAGCATGTCGATCCACAATCGGGTCTGGTAAAAACAAAAACAGGAACATGGTACGATTTTCACCAATTCCGGTGAAACACATACCAATTTTCTTCCATCTTCACGACGTTTAATTTGCTTACCCTGCCTGCTGCTGCAGGAAGTGTATGGACGAGAAATAAATTCCCACTCCCGGAACGGTACGTAGAAGCGACTGAAAATAGCCGAAATTGCAAAAATAGTGATCAAGCAACAACTGCGTAAGATTTGCAGACAGAAATGGCCGAGCATTAAACCGTATTGTTGACCCATCCTAATCCAGTGCTTTTAGATTCTACGTTGCATTCTTTAAAAAAAACACAGAAATAACCTCTTCCATAAGAAATACAGCAAATGGCATTCGTTTGCATCGTTAAACAGCACAACAAGCTTTCCGATGTTTCCTGTCACGTCCACCATACTACGACTTCCAGACACCCATATCACTTATAAAAAATGGTTCATAAGAACCGCAGCCATATTTTCATTCAAGGCAGTGAACCATTAAAAACACTACGTGGGCTACAACATTCTAAGACTGCATCCAGAATACTGTATTTACTATTATCCACAAATCGAAAATTCTCGTTGCTCTGATTAGTCACATACTGATACAATTAAGCGATAATCCTTTTCAACTGTACTAAATAAGCTAAATTTCATCATAACATAAAATACAACTACCGGGTTACTAGTCCTATTTCGTCTTGTAGAATTATGAGACCGATCGATGGAAAATACTGTATGTCAGAAAATAACTCCGGGAATATTTTTTAAATTTTCTCTGGTGAAGTTACCTCGAATTACATCCTGTTGCGGGTTATAATTCACCCTTGGCTGATAAATCTACAGAATTCTGAAACAAAGCATGTGCAGTAACTCACAGGAACGGTTCCCCGCCACAGTCCCACAACGCTCTCTTCCCGCAGGATCTGCCGCACTATGGGTACGACTTTAATGGACAAGGCCTTCTCCGGCGTACTGCAAGCCCCATACAAAAATCAAAAACCTTCGCACTGCGGGCCAAAGATAATCGTAATGCACACCGTGACACCAGATTGGCCTGGATGCGGGTCTTGATGAGATCCAGCGGCTGGAACAGCAGTGTGGAGCACACCCCCGTGAAGCTGCCCGCCACGAAGGAGCGGAGGGTGGTGTTGGACAGCAGGGATTCCGTTCTCCATTTCTATATACAGAGATCGATCAGAGAAGATGGAGAACGCGCTTGGTACAGCGTCCAGAAAGATCATACAACTTGATACAAGCATAGCAGGTACATTGGTAGCAATGTACCTGCTATGATACAAGTATCAGTTAAGTGTGTAATCATGCACCGCCAGTTGGATATGACTTACGGGGAAGCGGATGAGCTGACTAGCTTCGGAAGACATGTTTATAAATTATTAATATCGGCACAATGAGTCCAGAAGAAAATGGCAAATAAAAATTCGACGCATCACACTCACAGATGCAGTTAGGGGATTCCCCAATTTCACAAAGTCGACGTTACAGTCCGCAATCCTTTTACTTAATAAGTCTCTTACAGTCCCCGAACACTTGTACTTAAAATAATTAAAATGGTATTTGTCACAGCTCTGAGCTTCCAAAAAATTCCACATTAGAGCACTATTTACAAAAAATAAAAAAAGGAAGATTGGAAGACAGGAAGAAATAAGAAATTCTAAACGCTGCTCAATGCTGATTAATAGCCAGCTGCCAGAGAGAGAACAACAACCGAACAAGCCGAACCGTGGCAAAGCTGACATCTGCGCTTTAATCAGCTGCGCAGCAAAGATAGCGCTGCCGATCGCGAAATCCATTCGCCGTTATTTATTTTAATGAAATTTTGGGAAACGTAATAAGAATGAAACATTTTAACTTCGAGTCTGTATGACTACCATAAGTTTACTGCAAATACAATTCGATGTCACCATTACGTAATTGTGCACTGCTTAGTCTGCTTATCCAAGGGATCGTTTAAAGATAATAGTATTAAGTACTTTTTAAGCAGGTTGCGGTATCAACGAAGGGGTACGATTGACGATAGAATTAACGACGGGGTACAATTAACGAACGTTTAAACGGCAGTACCCGTCGTTATTAACGAAACGAAGGGGTATCGTTTCGTTAATAACGACGTTAAAATTCAGTAATGAACGACTGGGCCCACATGGACCATTGAGTACGAAGACTGCATAAGCGAGACAGTCTACCCGGTGAATTTCTGCCTGGGCATTCAATCCTGAGTTGCCCACTCGACTCGAAATTTCGAAAATTGTACCAGTCTTGACAGTTGAACTTCTGTCAGTGATTTTTTTGCCAGCTATTTAGAAAGCAAAATAATTTACTTTGTCATAAATGTGAAAATTATTGTAAAAACTAAAACACAGTTAGTGATAGGAATGCTTTGCTGATTCAGCAACCAAATGTTCTAACTTCTGTAACAGCTTTGTAGCGTGTACTGTGCATCACTGCATATTCACCAGTTTTCAAAAAATTCACGCATTTCAGAATGAAATGACTGATCTTTATAACGTCTGTGCGAAACTTAAACCGCAGTTCTCTCTAACGTATTTACATCACATGAAAAATCTGCATTTCGTTATCTTTACGCTGGTAAACAAAATGATGAATGGAGACTGGTTGATAGCAATTCCTCCCGTTAATTTTAGGGGTAGTAAATTGTTCAGTGTATAACGCAACCTCTTATTCGAATCAACGGAACATTAAATTAACAACGCTAAAACCGTCGTTAATTTTGCCGTTAATCCTTTGGCCGTGCAAAACGCAACCTACTTATTAAGTACTTTCTGTCGATCTGGTACTGCATATCCCAAACCCCAATATGTATTTGAAATATTTTGAATGTACCGTAAGACATCGTTTATTTTAACCAATTTTTGACATGCTCACAGAAACTGACAGTGAGTTAACTCCAATTAGTCCAATACACATTGGGCAACCTGGAATTAGTGTCGTCTAGAAAGTTACCCCATCGATTCCGCTTTAAAACAATGCAAATCCACAACGAAATTTCTCAACAACGTACGGATAAATCGATGGTACAGGCGTCCATACAGTGCAAGATAGCGATCCCTTCAACTAAAACAACTACCGTCCCCAAAAAAATACAACCAAAATCATCCATTTCTTTCCGATAAATAGGCTTGTCAAAGCGCAACCACTTCATCATCGCCCTCATCGGACGCCTCGCCTTCCTCCCGGGCCACCTCCTCCACCATGGCTTCCGCCGGGGCCTCCGGCGTGGGAACCGCGGAGGAGGTCGGCTCGGCCATCTCTACGTCGGTGCTGCCGGTGGCGGTATCATTGCGGCGGTCTTGAATACTTTGGAACAACTCCAGAATCGGCGATTCCAACTCACTCAGATCCTGTTTCATATCTTCCGCGTCAACACCCAACTTCTGGGATAGAAACTTCAAGAGTTGGCCGGCACTCTCCACGTCGATGTTGGCCAGGGTCATCGTTTCCTTCCGTTTCTTGATCTAAACGACACAAGGGAAATTTATCCAATAGGCAAACTGGAATACAAATTACACGTGGTGCCCCGTCTACGAACAATACTCCGACAAGGATAAAAAAATAGAGTAGTTCATTAAATTCAAATATAAAAATTAAATACTGAAAAATAAAAAACACTGAAAATAAGATAGTATAGGCGTATATTATACACCATAGAACTAACTGCTACCAATCTTTAATTTAAAGTGATATTGCTCTTTTTTTGCTAACCAGACCAAGAAATTATAACACCATATCGGTATAATGATAATCTCCTACAGGCTACACACAAAATATGTCCGGAAAATATAACGACGTTTATTCTAAGTTAAACTTGGCACTCTACCTGTTCTTGCAGCACGCGTTTCTCTCGTTCCAGCTCTTCCAACTCCCGCATCACCCCTCTCCGCCGTTCCATCTCGTGGTTCATCTGCCCCAACAACATCCGATGCTGCCGATCCCCGCTCTCTATCTCACGTCCCGTCTCCGGATACAGCCGCTCCAGTTCATCCCGACTGACCATGCGCAGATCGCGAAAGACGGAATAATCGGGCGCTACCAGTCGGCCCACGGCCGACCGTGTGGTATCCAGTTCCCCCTGCAGCCGCTCCAGTTTGGCCATATCGGCGCTGGGCTGATTGGTGGCCGCTTGTTGCGCTTCCTGGGCGCTGCGGGAATGGATGGTGAGGGCGCGGGCGTGGTGGCGGTAGTGCGTGAGGGAGGTGAGGAGACGCAGGGAGAGCGCGGAGACCAGGGAATTGTACTGGTCGGATGGAAGGGTGGCCGCCGAGTCGTAGACGGCGCTGACTAGATTCAGGTTGTCGATGATGTGCGACATGTGGGTCTGCGCGGCGTGGAGATCGGTGGTGAAGGCGGAATGCAGAGGATCGTAGGGGGGCTCGGGTGACATGGGGACTATGTCGTTGATCTGGGTTTCGGGCTTTCCACGAGGCTTGGCTGCCATGCTGTGATGCTGTTCTCCACTTTCCCAGTCGAATTCTCACAAAGGGAGGTATTAGGGATAGCAGTTAACAGTTCAAGCTATTGCCAGATTGATAATTTACCGAAAACGAATTGAAAATAGAAAGAGAGAATTTCCTCAGATCAGTTTTTCTATGTTAAACGGTTAAATTACTTAAATAAATTATAAATAATATTTATAATAAAAATAAGATTTTTTCAAGTTTTGAGTTTCCAAAAACGCTGTGCAGTGTGCAGTCACTGCAGTGCAATCGAAGCCACCGTAGCGAGCCGCGATGCATAGCTTGCTGTTCCATTAAATCCGATTTCCTGTTCCAATGGAACCGGAAGCGACCGTACCGACAGATGCAACCGCCTAATTTCCGTATCAAAAGGTTCGCATTTAATCAAGCACAATTTTTTAGACAGGACCCCACTCTTATTAGTTTGACAATGTTAAATATAAAAAATGTATTTTGTAACAAGAACGTAACTGCAGGCAGCAGCTGAGCGAACTGTTTGTGATTGGCAGCCGTGGCAGTTCCAATAAACGGCAGGATATACTTAATGGAATTTGACCCCTGGATGTTGGCTAATCCGTGAAGGCCACTGAACTCTCCAAAAGAATTTCAACTGTCCTTGTTTGAACTTCAGCACCAAACGGTGACGTCGTTCCACAGGTTTCATAATTTAACTGCACGTTTCTTTGTTGGTTTGAATTCTAATATCCATGTTTGTTCGTTTTGCTTTTCTAAAAAGCTAACGTTTAAGTACTTACTAATTGGTGGAGGTTAACTGGCGTGAAGGGTGTTGTGATTCCAGATTCCTTAGGTGTATAGTTGCAAACACGCTTCAGCGCGCGCGACGCTACTTATCAGTTATTAGCCTGCGTATTTGTTTACGATTTGTTTCAGGCTTTAGGCAGTTTCTTATCAGTTTCTGCTTCTCGCGTAACGAGGCGTTATCTTGTCCGTGGATCATTAGTCACTGTTTATTTACAATGGATTTGGAGTCCGATTCACTGGAACCCGTGGCGCCGTTTGAACTGCTGACGCTCACGGAGTCCGTCATCAACGCAGCTCCCCTCCAACCCTTAATCCCCGAAATCTCCCAGTTTTCTCCGCCCTCCTCCACGCTCACCCCGCTGCCTAGTTCCGGACTGATTTCCCAATCGGTGGAGCTGATCAATACCATGTTTTCCGCGGAGGAGACGGCCATCTCCTCGTCGGAACGCGGCACGACGCCGTTGGATGTCCTTGAAAACGCAGCCGCGCTCTTCTCCCCTCCGCCCGCGTATCCGCCCGTCGAACCGCCCATGTTCATGGAGGCCATGCCCATGTTTTGCGCCCGCGTGCGCGAGGCCAGCTCGTCGCTGTATCGGTTGGATGCGGGGCGGGTGGGGGGTATGGGTGCGGAGGAGGAAGAGCCTGGGGTAGTCCTGGAGGCCTACGCAACAGGCAGTCTGAGTCTGGATGTGGAAAATGGGAGCTGCCATTTTCCCTTGGATTCGGTAAGATGCTAAGTATTTTAGTTTTTGTCTTGTAGTCCGTAGCTGACCTGCCAACCACTAATAATAACTTCAATAAATTCAGTATTTTAAATTCGTTTTTGTTCGTTAATTCATATCGTATACTGAGTGGCGAATCAAATAAAAAAAAAATAAAATTGGAAATATACTAATGAAAACTGAAATTAAAGTTGGTGATAACTGATATTATCATGGATTTCTGTTGCAGATTTTCCTTTGAAATGCTATGTGCTTGTTATATTCGGCCGTGTAGTAACTGCTGAGTAATTGTTCAAGAAAATTCGAAAACGTTTGAAGTTATTTATTTACGTGCTAATAGTTTCTACTGGAGTTTACTGTTTACAGCAGCGTTGCTGTCACCGTTAAAGAAGGTTTTAAGGATTATCTAAATAATAATTGCTTATGTTTTTATTTTTGTTCGGTAGTTTGAATTTTGAGTGTTCATAGATTTATGACTGTCGCTTGGGGGTTGAATCTTCTGATTGATTTTCGTTATTCCAGCGCTCGTTGCATGCGAACTATTGCCGAGCTGTGTAAAATCGTAGTGTAGTGGATTTTACTCGGAGCTTCTCCACCAGTGGTCGAGTGGGTTGATCATTTACAGTATAAGTCTCACTTTGTATTCATTCATAATCCGTGAATATTTTAAATTTTAATTTTGCGATTAGTATATGGTAAACTTACTGACATTCATACCAAAAATAACGAGAACTTTTACCCTGTACTGTAATTTGTGATTGTGATTTATACATGTATTAATTTTCTAGTGCACGTATACAGCCTACCAACGGTTTTGAAATTTACATGAACACTGCCTTAAGTCTCTCCGGCATTTTAGCAGGTGTTGCTGTTACGGTATTTTTGCTGTTGGGAGTGTTGTCGTGAACACCGGTACTCATGCAGTGAAGTAGGATATGGATAACTGTTCCTGAAAGGACGTATTTCGTGCTGCACTAGCGTTAATTACAATAAATTTAGTATTGATATTGCAGATCGCTACCTTGGTCTCTCCCAAAAAACACACTACTACTCTCCACCTCCCGCTGCCCCACGCGGATCCCGTCCCCTTCATCCACCGCTCCGTGTCCTCGCCGGTATTTGCCGCCAGCATTCGCGAGCATCCCATCAACGCCGACGACAGCGACGCCACCATTATTCTCAACGGGAACACCCCGGCCAAACCGAAAAAACGCAAAGCCGTCACCACCAGCCTGCAGCTTCCGGAAGCGGAGCCACCCGCGGTGTTGCCGCGCTTCCAGTGGTTCCAGGGAAAGGGCATGGTCAAGGTGCACGTGCTAATTAAGAATGTGTGTCCCATGAACATGAAGCTCAAGTGTAATGGACGGGATTTGGAGGTGCGCTGCTCGACGGATAATGCGCCGTTTCCGCCCACGAAACCGTTGAATCCGCCGCGTGATATGGTGGACTATCATCTGCCGCTGAGATTAGCACACCGGGTGCATCCAGAACCGGAATTCATCAGGTACGGTTAACTTTTGTCCTTTGTTGTTGTTGTCTGATAGTTTTCATCTGGGTTTTCAAATAATTTGTTTTCTGTTTTGTAGCTTGGAGTAGTGGTTGAGACAACTGTGACAATAAATTAAGCAGTGGCAAATAAAATTCTCAGGCTTGCAGAATAATGACAAAAATTATTTCATATCCACAATGTTTCCGGAATTAAAGGTTAAAATGACCGATTAAATTTAGTATAATTTTACCGAGCAAGCTGCGAAGCGATGTCCTTGTCGAATGTCTGTTAGCCTCTTCTGCTTGAACTTTGGAAACACAACTTTGGAAACACAACTCTAAGTACTCGTATAAACTATAAACTACATGTTAATGTCAACCAGTTGTAGAGATGTGGCTGATTTCTGGTAGTTCACTCGAAAAGCCGGCGCGCTTTGCCGATGTTGTTCAAATAAGTTACCTATGCAAAATTTAAGCGAACGTCCATGACGTTTTTTTAAATTTTAAATAGTGTTGTGTAGGGTTTAAAATTAAGCTCACCGGGTTATTTTGTTTATCAACTTCTTTCTACTTACAGTTAATTATGTCGCTCACACAGTGGTTGTGTTCACACCGGTTGTGTATTTCGCACAGATATTCGCCCAGTCGAATCGAAGTGCATTACCGCAAAGTGAAGCCGTACATCGAATGGGCATCTTTATGGAAAAATCCTGCCGCAGCTAGCGCCACGGCATCGTGGTCGGATTCCGGCGTCATGGATGTGGAGACCTCGTCGGACAGTGATGAAGTGGACGAGGAGGACGAAGATGAGGATATGGAGCGACCGGCTAAACGTTTCATGAACGGTAACGAAAAGGACTTGAATGTGCGAGTGTCAAGTTGTGGATGAACAATAATATTTGCTACACATTTAATGTGAAATTTGTGGTCTTATAATACTATTCCGGCCGTACGTTTTAGTGGATACATTCAGCGACATAATATCGAGCTACTAAAATACCTGATACTGGCGTGAACACGATGACTCTGCGATTTAAACGGTCAAAGTGTCGCAGCTAGACAGGTTATCAATTTTATCATGAAAAACATCAATATAAAAAATCTTATTGGTATTTCCTGAACAATTTTATATGGCTGATTTATTTACTGAACAACGTTATCAAAGCTTTGACGCAAATGGACTGTAGCGATAAAGCCTCTATTCTCTACGCTCGAGTCCACATTTACTTATCAGTAACAGGTTGCAAAACGTTTTAAAGGAGACTGAAATTTCCGAAAAACGTACTCTGCAACCAGTAGGTAGTTTCACACTAGTTTGTACCAGCACGTTGTTACAAGAAGAGCAGACACAGAAAATATAACAGTATTTTTTGCAACGACTTTCGTAGCCAATACAATGAATAGAATAAGCGCTGATCGATTTAATTCTGGGTTGCAAATTAATTTTCAGGAGAAATTGCACACGCGGGTGAGAAGATCCCTCTTCCGCCGCTGCCGGAAATCCCGGGACCGTTGACCATGAAGGTCAGCAGTCCCCTGCATCCGGCGCACTTCACCCTGGGACTGAACGAACCCGATTCCGACCAGACACCGTCCACGTCGTTCCCCGTGGAAACGTCGGCGGAATGCGCAATGTCGACGACGGTGGCCATTGTGGTGTCGGAATGGAATACAAACGACAACGAATCCGTCGTATCAACGACCAGTGAGACTCACGAAACGGAATGAAATAATACGGGTATTTGTTAGAAATGTGTCTGATATAAAAAGTGCTTGTGGATCTCGTTGCGCTGATCATTGGGCGAAATAATGTTGTTTTTCTTGTAATTTATTTTTCTCATTTTGTTCCACTAATCCGTTTGTTGATATGTTCGGCACGTTTTGACGCGGAAATCAAACTGTTTTATTGACTTTATTATTTTAATCGAAATTGTAATTACTCTCAAGTCTCAGCTACATCCAAAAAAATGATCATTTAAAAGAAAAAATGCAGACAAATTCTTTGGATTTTGCGCCATTTATCAGCAGGACGCTAAACTGGGCATATCATCACAGAATAATGTAGTCACTTTCAAGAATTCGGTACGCGGTGTCGTCCGGCGATATGGTGTGCGCCGCATTTATGAGATTGGTTATCCTGGTCTTGTGCACGGCGGAAACGTGTTTTTTGGCAATGGATGCGGGTACTCGTTCGATATACACATTTCCCGTGGAGTTTCTTTGGTATCGGATGAGCAAGTCGGGTTGTGAATCTTGTGATTGCGCTGATATTGGCAGACATACGGCATCAATGCTGTCCACCTTCCAGCCCAGCTGGACACCATATAAACCACTTCTCGGGCGAACACACACTTTCTACAGATAATGAACAAAATAAAAACTTAGATATCAATAAGTAATGATAATAATAAACAAGTACAGTATATAATATAAATAAACAAATCAAAGTGTAACTAAAATTTATGTAAAAGCTGATGTTGTTCAATCGATTGCTGTAGGTTATTCTATGCTGATCAAACGAGAATTTTTTTAGTTTTTACCGTACTTCACAATCTTTAAAAAACTCTTCGACATGGGAGCTTCTTGTACGGCTGAGCACCGAATCCTGCGGATGCGAATTATTGTTTTCGGAGTCTACAACGGATTCGGCATCCTCCGGCGATAAAAACGCCAGTCTCTCTGAAAGTGCCACGGAGGGGCTAGTGGTGGCGTGTGCACTTTGGGATGACCCATTCAAAGAAACCGAAGATTCCATTTCCATCTCGTTCCACTCCTCGTCAACGCTGCCACCATTTTGGACTGGAGATTTTGCCGGGCGTGGTTGGTAACTTTTTGGCAGACCGGTGTCACGAAGGTCATGATCGCTACGTATACCTCTCGGTATTCTATTCTTCTTCCGTGGTGGAAGATAATCTGCTGATGAAGACGAGGAACTACATTCATTGAGCGATCCCTCATCTGAAAAATGCATGGTGGAAATTTGCATCTGCTCTTCTTGCATTGCTCCCTGTGAACCCTGATTCGGTGGCGGATATTCGGGAGATGAACACCACCGGAAGCGGGTGACGTCTTGTGAGGTCGGGTGCCTTCGTGGCTTGCTGGTTGTACCGGCGCCTTCTTGTTGACGTTCCGGTTGATATTTCCGATTATGATCCAGTGGTCGATGGAGATGGGAGTAAACGTGATCCAGTAACAGGCATGCCGGACTCCTTGCCTGTCGACCTGAGAAAAATTTGAATGTCAATGTTTTCACGGCGACTGTGTTCTAGATTTTGTTCACATTAAGTGTTGTTAAATATCTACCACATACGCGTACTGCGGCAAACGCGAAGCGATTATTCAAGTACAGTAAATGTATCTCTTTATTCGAGTACTTATTTGTTACAGTAGTGTAGTAAAGAGCCCCTAAGGACCACGGTACATTCATGGAATTCTTGTACACTGTACTTCCGTCAATATATAAAGAATCGTAAATTTCTCCTCACTTGAAGTGCGTGTTGTTCTTTTGGTGATTTTGTCCATTTCAACTGCCACTGTAAAAAAAACGAAAAATCAGTAAACATCAAAATGTAATACAGCATAGCTAGAGTCCATAAATACTGATTCACGAGAATTTGTTCTTCAACTTGTAAGCTTTAGAGCGCGGCGGTGATACTGTTTAGTTGATTTTTATTATCATTCAGGTACTCACTAGTCGCAAGTACGTACATTAATGTACGGAATAATACTGTATATTATCATTATGTACTAAACCATACAATCTAATTATACAGTCCTAAAACAATATGCTCGTTATGGAGCTCGAAGAATTTAAAAAAATATGCATATACATAGACTCAGAGCCTTTATAAAAGAGCATTTTATTCGGACATACTAATTCGTTGCGGTTCTGTTTGTTTATACAGGTTCCTTTGCTCCCATCCAATGATTTTCTGCTCATATATCTACCTATAAGCAGTTCTTACCTTGACAGTAACCAAACAAATATTTGTTGCACATTTCGGCCGAAACTCCGTCATAATCTGCTCGCCGTCTTCGTTTTCTGTTCCTCGAATTTTTACCTTCCGGCATTTTACGAATATTCTCATGTCCAAAGTAAGAAAACAGTAAAACGATAAAACTATGAAACGGTAAAACCGATAAAAATAACGGTAAAACTATGACTCTCAAAAGCGTAAATTGCATGAAGATCATCAATATCCAGTACAGTATTGAGTTTTAGGTTGAGCTATGCTTAAAGTTAAAAATGGATACAACTATTTGCATAAATAATTCATTGATTATCATAAAAATCCGTTAGATTGTGCATTAAACTGCAATATGTAGTGTTACATAAAAGTATGCCGAAAAAACGATATTCCACAAATCAAATTGATGTTTTGACTATGCCCTGACGACATAAGGAAGCCGTCGCTCATATGTTATCCTCCGGTAAAAGCCGCATGCCCAACAGCACAACCGGCACCGCCGTATTTGCTCACATTTCATTGGTGATCTGCACCCGGTAGCATCACTACTCGGGTAGCATGATTACAATCTCGTTTATTTATGCCAACTAGAAAAAATACCCGGCGTTTTGCCGGTAACGTGGGCTGGCGGTTGCTTATGATGCAGTAAAAACGCTTACACTGCGAAGCGTGATGCTGCGTTTATGAATACTCTGTAGATGCTAATTTAATGAACATTACATACAATAGATGAGGCAATATTTTATTCCGGACTCTATGGGCTTTCTGAATCGCTCCGTATGCGTACGGAAATATTTTTTATCAGTATATGACACAAGATAGCTAATAGAATTAACGAAAAGTATGGTTTTGTTGTTTATATACTCACATAGCACAGGTACAATACGTGCAGTATGTACATGTATGTACATACATGTGCAAGATCGCCCCTAAAATGCGGTGTTGCGGGAGCTTATGGTACTTTGTAGGATTACTCGTTATTTGTGGATACGAATGAAATTTCCCTAACCATAAGACTACTCAGTTATCTGTAGAAACATTTGTGTTATCACATAATTGGGTTATATGAACATTAAATACATGTACGGTCAATATGCCACGCGAAATTATTGCGCGCGATCATTAGTAACGGCATGTCGCAGTATTGTACATACGATAGTATTACCTATGAGAAATGCTGATATACAGTAGTTGTAACACAATTTTATTAATTCATAATTTGGTAATTGGTATATCGTGATCGTTGGTTGACCAATGGTTTTAATTAAAAATACTTACCCATAGCCTTCTTGTCATTAAAGCGGGAGATCGCTGCCATATTGTTTTTGCTTGACCATCCATTAGGAGAACCGCTAACAGAGCCATCGGCCAACGGAGGCGGTAAAGCGTTATCATCGCCGGGATCGCTCATAATGCAGCTCCGATGACCGATTACGGGTAGAGGAGGCGGTAAACTCAGAAGATCTGGTGTTATGACGGTATGATTCCGTACCACTGTATCTTCGATACTTTCAATCAAGGAAGCCAGAATCTTATAAGCTGCGAAGAGCGGTTATGTTGAAAACATGCTTCCTTACTTGTTAATTATATGAACTTTATAAGTCAGACTATTCAAAGTATTACTTTCTAATTAATCATACATCGAACTAATAGAAGCAATTGTAACCTTTGTGCAGCAATGGCGCAACCTTGACACGACAGTATTACAGGGTGATTCAGGAACTCTAAAAATTATAACATATGTCCATTTAGCATTCAAAGTCAACTTGAATGTTAGATGGACACACGTTATAATTTTTATGCTGTTTTTCAAGAAGTAGTTTTTTATGGTGCTTAATGACCACTTTAGGAGGTTAGAGTAATTACAATTGTTATAATTACGATACCGTAATTAGATACATCCAGTAAGTATACGATACCATACACGCGATAACGATAAAGCAGATGCAGTGTATAATACTTTAAATTTTAAGTACTGCATACTGCACATTATTATATAGTTAAATAATATGCACATATATAATTAAATAATGTTATACCTAAAAGTATAATTACGATATACTACAAATTATTCTTACGTTAATACTCTCAGACACTGTACCTTTGACCAGTTGAGAAAATGATTGCGGATACGAAGAATACTGCACCCGTTCCATTGTGGAGTATGTAGTTTAAAATTTTGCACTGCGGGATCTGTGACCTTTAAAAATCGGCGCTGTTCACTCTTCTCCAGAGCCCTGCTGAATGGGCGTCTCTTGGTTAATATACACCGATATCTGCTAAAAAGCCAGCGTGCATCAATTAAAGCAACAGTAAAAATGGCAGTGTGGAAATAAAACGTTTGAGATGGAAAAGAAGTGTAGTACACTAATGCGAAGTTCTGGATGCACGGAGTGCGAGTAATAACTGATGGCACACTGATATAAAATTACGATATGCTGTGCTCGCGGCACTCCCTACCTACGGACAGTGGTCGCTTCAGAAATCAGTCTCTTTCTGGTTCTACTGGAATCGGCGCTAGAATGATGAGTAAAAATTTCAGATTAAAACCAAAACTGATATTCGACATCGATCACTGCCTCTAAAAGCAGACTAAATATTTCGTATGCTGCGAGTAGTCTGTAAATACAGCATGCACTGACCGTTTCCTAATGATTATTTCTTATTATTGCAGATATCAATCTGAACCCATTTGCGGTATCCTCAAGCAGTATCTTTGCGTTGTTATCAACAAATTAATACTGAGAGGTCGTTCGCTATATAATGCCTATATCTGTAACTCGTTATTCTTGCACAACATAGTGATATGCCATGTGAGCTTATAGGCAGAACTACAACACTGTATTGTGAGGAATATAATCACAAATTTGATCTGTCCTGCAGACTCCTGTTTGATACGTGCATGTTTCTGCAAAATCATTTGTCAACTGTTTCAGCAGAATAAAGAAATAAATCTGGAAAATGTAGAAGCATTCTACATTTCTACTGTAGTAAGATGTACTGTAAATGGTTGCATAAAGATCCGCCATGATCGAACTAAAGGCCATCATAAAACTCTTGGTTGTTCGATATTCTCGAATAAGTAGTGAAATCTGCGACTGAGACAAACAATGCAGGGATAGTACTTAAGCGATGGAATGATTACAGACGTTTCTTCGACGACTATCATTAAAGAACAATAATACAATTTAAACTGAACACGTGGTACTGTACTCGTGCATGTACATGTGTATCTACGCTAAAAATCACAGCTAGCCTTGGCCTGGATTACACATCGATACTTTTTGATGAGCCGATAATTTTTAATCAGATTAAGATTCCCATGTTAACACATGGTTCGTTCCACTGTATAATGACTTAGTCACGCACTGAACACCCCTCGAAAGTGTACCCATAACATCGACAGACACCCGAAAAATTTTGCAAAATCTTCAGAGAATTTTCACTGGATACTCATTGCTGCCGTGTGACTAAGCGCCTCGAGAAAAATCCGAAAAAACGGGAATCACACGGGGATCGGCACTTGTACTGTGTATATGCTGTAATTCTGACAAGCAGTTTTTAACCAAGATGCATGGCTCATAATCGGTCAGTTGCACTGTATCTCTTCTATGTTTATTTTTTTCTTTTACCGCGATTTATACATGCTTCCGATCTCCATCATTATGCGGTAAAAAAGGTCAACTATATTCCCATCAAAATGCTAAAGCGAAGCGAGACTATTTTGGAGAAGCTCAACCCAAAATCGTCTCAACATGACCGCATTCACAAAAAGCCGGGATTATTTACCATCGCTTGGGCGGTCAGCTTCGTCGTGACCTTATGTGGAACATTTACCTGGCTATATTTCTACAGCAGCCGCTTATCTGCGGTTATTGTGACCTCCACTCTATCGGGAATTTTAATTTGTCTCTCCATCGTCAGTCCACGCTTTCGGATTACATGTATCTTGGTTGTTCCGCATCTTGGAATGCGACATGGACGCTCAGCATTGCTGGCTGTGGTGATGAGTACGCTGCTGGCTGGGCCGATTAATAATATGAGTCGGAATTCTAACAGTATTATTAATTCGACGGTGTGCGCTGGACATTTGTTGACCAACGAAACTGACAAGGTACAAATATATTATTTACTCGTTAATATATGTATGTGTGCAGACAGATTTAGTATTTTATTAAACAAAAGTATCATAGAAGTAAAAAATTTTCGTCAGCGTGAGTCTGATAAATGAAAAGATTATAATTTATTTTGCGGTAGAGCGGATTATTTATTATAAAATTAATTTTACCAATAATTAATTAAAAGGATTAACAATAATTAATTTACCCGTTTGCAAAATTGGTTAACTTAAATAATTTACTCGCTTGCTTCAATTATCTGGCTGTCACGATCTGGTAAAGAGTACTAAAGGCTGCATTGAGTTTACAGTGTAAATGCAGATGATGGACATCCCTAATAAATTTCAGCCATAAAACAATCATTTAGAAAGAAAAATTGTGCTACAGCAGTAATCATATTTGTACTCGTTTCTGTATTATTGGTCTGTGATGTATCTTTATTTTATGAAATAAAAAAGCACTTCCCAATAAAAATAATTATGAATTATTGGTCTGAATTTCTTTTTGTGCCGCGAGACAGAAGCGATACACAGAAACGCAGCCCTTGCTTTACGAAATGTTGTTAAATCTGCCGAAATTTGTTAAATCTGCTTTTTTCTGCTGTGCTCTACCAGTAGAGTACTGAGTAGCAATTAATTTGTACATGAGATTTTATGCTTGGTAAAACTGTAATCGTAATTCAAAGTTTATTTGATTTTAGTGAAAAAGGTTTGTCTAAAAAATGATTTAGTAACGATCCATCTATTGTTTGTTTGTTTTGCTTTTTTAATTTTTCCAGCACAGTAATTGACCGGCTCCGCTAAAAACCTGATTTATGTATTTTGTTCGCAGGTGTTTCAACGCGCTACCAAACCATATGAGCGTATCCTGGAAAAGGTCAATGCCACCGGCAATCAGTGGAACATGGAAGCCAAAAAATACCGCGAAGAACTACAGAGCATCAATGCGCATATTGGCGCCATATCTAATAGTATTCACGGATTAAAAAACGTCCAGTCTATCCTATCGCGTATCGGCATCATAAACACGGTCCGGAAAAGTGTCAGCATGTTCGGAAACGCCCTGGACCCGTCGCGCATCGGTTCTTCTCGAAGCGGTAAAGAACGTGATAGACTGGAGATCGAACACCAGCTCACTTCTTCTCTGTCCAATTTGACCTTTATCCAACAATACACCGAGAGGAAGTTGAAGAATATACGGGAAGAAGTATTCCAGGACGTTGGAATTAAAAGTGTGCGGAAAAATCTAAACAATCTGAATACCGATTTTGAACGGCTGAAAAATATCACCCGGCAGTTGAACATTATGGTGAAAGGCTTAAAGGATTTCCAGACAGCGACCGGTGTGATTAAATACATAACGGCGTTTGCTTTTCTCCTGCTGTATTTCACATGTTGGCGATACATTGGAAAGTATTTAACATCCAATAAGTTCGATAATGTGTACGTAACACAACGCGTTAAATCCATGTACGCGGAACTACGCCAAGAAATGGAAGGCGAGGATGAAACAAAAAAGGTCAAACTTACCAGAAAACAGTTATGCGGTTTAGTGGATATCACCTCACTCAGTTTATCGCTCCTGGAACGCGCCGCCATCAAATCAGGAATGGTGATTCCGGGGATTTACGCCATTCTGACCATAATCTTGTTTGGGTGTAATTTAACGCTGGAATGGTTGATCAGTTTAATGCAGTATTCATCCTCAGCCGGTGGCTCAATAACCACACAGGACGGCTTTGATCTGAAGCCCAGCGGCAAAGGCTTAATGGCGGATAAATTATTTCCCAAGTTATTCGAAGGATTTCCCTCGAACGATAAGTACAACATTAGTATTGAGATGGATAAATGCGCACCGGTACTACACCAACTGAAAGGTCATGACTATCTGGTACCGGTAATCATTTTGCTCTCGGTGATGTTGTTGCTAGTTCTGGATGGCTACTGTCTGAGAATGCGACAACTCATGTTGACGTATTTATATCCGGAGCGGAGCGAAGAGCGTAATGAACATTTGTGCAAAAAACTGTACAAGAAGAAACCCAAGAAGATTAAAGATTTCCTGAAGTTTCGCCAGAAAGCGGTGGAGCGTTCCAAGCTGGCACGGTATGATACGGAAAATGGGTGGATCTTTGCCTCGGCTTTATCGAAGAAGATCTCGGATCTAATGAAGTTTAATTGTGCGGGGTGTGGCAAAGATATTCGCGGTAAAACCAACATCTTGGAATGTTCCAAGCAAGAGTGTCATGCGCTGTTCTGCAAGAAGTGCCAGAAAGTACTTCAGGCTGGCAATGAGCAGACACTCATCTGCGTTCTTTGTGAAGAGAAGATTGACCGACCACTTCCGGCCGAGCCCAGTGCTTGTGCGAGCTTGATTTGCTGTGTTTAGGCTAGCCTCGTTTTGGCTGCGTAACTATTTAGGATCATTCCTTAAATTAATGAGAATCTCCCGGTGTCACGAATCTGTATTTTTAGTATTGATTATATCTTTTTATCTTTTGCTTAAACTTGTTGCTTACCATAAAAATTACTTAACAGTTGTTATACTGCAAACCTTGTAAATCAACAGTGCAGCTTCTACGTCTCCTTGTTTTTATGTGATTATCGTGTAATTCTGTGTTCCAAAACCCGAATAATAACATTATGCTGACTTCTAACCACGCACGGAGCAATACTTACTTACAGTAATCGCAAAACACGGTAACGCCTTCGCTTTGTTTTCGTGGATGCACGATCTTGTACACACAAGCAAATGGTACAAACAATGGTACAAAAAAAACTGGGTGTCAACCGAGTGGCATCTGCTCCCTTGTCACCAACTCTCAGTACTTGGTAACTTCTGGTCACTGTACCGAACGATGACAGCAAGGTTTGATCATCTATTCTTAACGATTGCCGGAAATGGCGGTAATCGATCGTCCGTACTGACAACCCACTACAGTGACTCGTACACTTTGCTGGCTTTGCACGTTCGCAGTGCAAAATTAATATATTTTTAAATACACTGAGAGTCTGAAACCACATTTTTCACTGCTGGTACAAAGTTAACGTGGGTCAATTCTTAATACTCCTAAATTCGTAAAACTCTTAACACTAAACTTTAAAACAGAACAAAATGTTGTATGATTTTTCAATTTTGAATCTCTTATTTTGCTATTTAGGTACCATCGCGTACTTTTGCCTTACTTTAGTGCTATATTTTTTCTGCTGCAACCGCTACTTTTACTTGTTGTTTACTACTGACCTGAAAATATTTTGCTTACTCAGTAACCCAAGTATTACTTATGGTTAGTTATACTTTTTACCCACGTACCTAAACATCAATCCGCAGCTTAATCATCCAACTTGGTATTGTCTATCCATAGTTGTATAACGTATTAAATGTCAGGAAGCAAATTTCGCTCAAATCGCGAAGGCAAAGAGCCAAGCATGGTAAATTCCAAACCCGTCGCAGTAACAGTAGTATTTTTGGCAGAAACAATCTTCCCTTATGTTTTATTTACTGTCTCCTATTACCTAAAAAACCTACGAGGGACCGGTTAACGGTTCATCTCTCAGAAAAATTTGGTTTTTTGCATAAAGGTGGAGTAACATTAGAATGAATTTTAAAAAAATCTTTTCAGGAAAACAAAATCACACATTAAATTTTTGGATTAATTCGTAATATGATGCATTTCAGTTTAGCAATAATACTCGTAATTTAATTGTCATCGACCTGCCGTAAATCATATCTTTAATTTTTTTAACGTGCTTTTTGAAAAACTCAACTCTTATCGTGGCACTGCGTTTGCTTTCAAAACGTTAGTTGTAGGTGAGCTAAAGGTTTTAATTCGGTCCAGATCGCTATATGCAGTACGCATCGTTTGACATATTTTTTACATTATTATGCGTAAACTTCTCATGTCTTTGACCACAAGATCTTTGTGCCGGCTGTCAAACAAGTAAGCAGTACTATGTTAAAAACATTTATTTTTCAATAAATGTTTTTAACATAATTAATTTTGGAGAATCTCGCCTCGATTATCGACACGATTTGTACTCTGTACTCGTAGTAATAGAGCAAACCTACAGATACAGTCATAAGACAGACCATAATTATTATACAATGCTTGGTAAACAACATTAGTATGCTAATACCTTAGAAATTAGAATACAAATGCAGTACATACGATACTTTTAAGTTTAAACCAAGAAGTTCGTAACGGCCGGGCAGTTGAAACTTCTTCAACGTAGGTTAGCACCTACCTAGGGCACTAATTAACATGCAAATACACTTTTTACAGTAGAGGAGCAAGTTCGCGCGTGCTGCAGAGCCATTCGTACAAAGGTGCATATATGCAGCCGCTACCAGTGCTGGCGCTAATAAGCCCGGCTGTATATAGGCACGCTTGTTACGGTGCCACGGCAGAGAGAGCCGTGGTACCGTACAAGTGTGCATATATGCAGCCGCTACCAGTGCTGGCGCTAATAAGCCCGGCTGTATATAGGCACGCTTGTTACGGTGCCACGGCAGAGCCGTGGTACCGTCCGGGGTACCGTCCCGCGGAGTGGTAGTATGGTTGCGGCTAATATTAGGAGAAGTGCTGCACGTTACGTGCTGTGCAGCCTCTATGGTAATTTCTCGTAGACCCGTGAGACGTGCAGCACACTGCAGCACGTCACGTGCTGACGGTGTTTGCACGTCTCACGACTCAGGCGGGCTATGCAGGCGACTACTAATAGTACGAATGATTTTTTATTCTTAACTTATTTTAATAATTACACTACATGAATTGTTTTGAGGTGATTTTATTTAGTCAAATTTATTTATTCATCAATTATTATTGTCATTTATTCGACATTAACTTTGTTTATTCTGCATAATTGTTTTTACGGTAAGTTATTCACTAAATCTTTTCCATCCTACAGTCATACTTCATTTATTCTATACCAATTAATTTTATATGTTTTACTATATTATTATGTTAATATTCTGTTTTAGTTCCATAATACATGTAGGTCTTACAAGTTGCAGTACGCAAGTGAACGCCGGAAAGATTGCGGCTTTTAATCCTAACAGCCAGCGCAGTAAAACGAGAAACCGCCATTTTATTGAAAATTTCCGTTACGAATTTCCCAAGAATTTCTCGACAATTCCAAATACACTTTCTCGTTCCATAATTACACCAATAGTTAAATCCGTAATAAATAAAAATAAGCTGTTACAACAACTAATTTAAACTGAACTAATTAATTTAAAATTTCTAAATAACTCAATTTAAATTAACTGTCACAATATCGGCGCTCACTGTATCCATAACAAAATTCATGAGTCAGCTAAGAATTAAAAAAATATATAATTTATTCGACCTGGAACTGGCAGACATACCGTAACTGGCATCCGCATCCTCTGTCTCGGCGGCGTGCAGGTCGGCCTCGTTGCCGGCCAGGTGCTGCTTGAGATCGGGCATCTTGTATTGGCCGGAAATTGTTGCCGGCAGCGGCTCGGTCAAACCCGTCTTCGCCAGTTTGGCATGATCCTTGACTCCTTGTCCACCACGATTTGGCCTTCCGCCTATAAAGTGCCGATGCCTCGTTCCGGCTCCATGCACAGCCCGCTGTGGCTGAAGGAGCGATAGTCCGCCGGCCCAGCGTGCCTAGAAAACAATACAGAAAATAAAACCATGCGGAAAAAATTACGAGTAAAATAAATCATAATTTTCAATTTTAATCGAGGCGTCTGGCAAAAACGATTTTTAATAATTTTTAATTTTTAATCTGGCAAAAACTACAAACAGAAAATTGTTCCGGAGCATAATCAACAAATCAACGGAAAATTCGAAAAAGCAAAGGCAAAAAATATCAAAACTAATTAAATAAATTAACAAAAATTATTACAAAAATTAAATTTAAAATATTTAAATTTAAGAAATCAGAAAAAAAACAGCAGAATTAATTAGGCCAGCGAAGTCCCTAAAAATTAATATTCAATTCGACAAGAATCGCACTAACCTGGCCCCTGAAAATCCACGGTAATAATGTATTGTGCATATGCAGCCGGATGAACATCGGCATCGTATGGAACCCCAGTACCAGCGGATAGTGCGTTTTCGGTCGAATCTGCTCATCCGCAAAGCACTGCGTCCGCTGGATCATATGCCGCAACAGCGGCACATGCTCCCGCGTCAAATCTTGGAAGTGGACGATGTCGATGGGCTCCCCGCTGCAGGGGCAGCACCAGATAATGGTGGACTTGGGGACTGAGTCGGACAAGATGATGATGGATTCATCGAGGTACAGTTGGCGCGCGGGGTCGTGGGAGGATTCCAGGAGGCCCAATCCCCAGCGCTGCTGGGGGACACCTCCCAGAGGGTCTCCAGAGGTGGCCCGGTCACCCGCCGACCCGAGCCGGCGTCGTAGGCGGAGAGGGAGGCGGGGGCAAGCTGATGGAGGGGATCACGGGGGTTTGCGTCTCCATCGCCGGGCGGGTGGCGCTGCGACACGATAACACAACCTGGCAGCGTCAGGCTTAACCGATAAATTCGTGTAACCAAAGTTCTGTCGTATTACAAGGCCGGATGAGTGCTACAAGAACTTTCCGCACTGTTAAAAAAACCGGGGAAACGCGGGCTGGGGATGGTAGTACAGATTTACAAATGAAAAGATCAAAAATCAAAAGAAAAATCAAAGACTGATCGAGGAATTCACGAATCACGATTTGTCGAAAACTGGAAATGAATTCGCGTTGCAGGCTTGCAGCTGACTGTCCTACCGAGGCGGCGCTTATCTTTACAGATTATCGCTTTTCGATACGCTTTTCGATATTTTTTTATGCAGCCATAATTCCAAGATTTTACCATAGAGGGAACGAACATACGCCGCTTCGCTTTGCTCCGCTCTGTATATACAGAGCGTCTATATACAGAGCGGAGTATATCAGCCGTATCAAGAACGGTATTGAACGAAGCCTCCAAGCCAAAGGTGAGCATTACCTTCGGGCTGCGAAACCGGTGGCTAAGTTTGCAAAAATGCAGTACCATCCGGCCCGGCATCACGGCTGAGCCGGAGGAAATGGGATACAGAAAAATGTTCCATGAGGATATTTTTACCGGAAACCATTATTGCCGGTCACTCGTGTGCATTACGCTGTTTTATGGGATGTATTTGTACGTCGAAATGTCATGCGCTATCTACGTAACCGGCAGAAATCAAGATATACGGCACCACTGTATAAGGCCGCTACGGAAGTCAACAATGACTTCATATACACCAGCTGAGGTGGCTTCATAGTGTTACTTCCGTAACAAACTTCCGTAACGCAATTCCGTAACGGGTTTCCGTAACGGGCAGAAATCAACAAATCCATTAGCCTTGAATATGGAGGACCTCCGCTACGCTCCGGTCGACTATGGTATGCAAGTAACGCAACTACTAGAGTAGTACAGTATTACCCTACAATACAATTACAAAGCATAGTAGCATGCGATACTTTGACTGTTAAATTCGTGTTTGGTCACGTCCACTTCACCATTGCCGATAAAAGTATTTTGAAGTTTATTCTAACGTTACCTTCCCTTTATGCAAATAAATCTTATTTTCCGGAGAGATGTACCGGACCGGTCCGTGGTAAGGCGAGGCAACAGCTAGTAAATACTGATTTGG